AGGCTATTTCTGTTCACATAATCATCAGAGGATGCTCTAACAAGGTAGAGCCGTCTTTCTTTTCTCTTTGCCTGTTTTTTTTTGTTTTTTTTTCCCTGAGTTTGCACGACAATACCTCAGCACTGCGTGTACAGCCTCCACCGGGGTAGGCTTGCCGAACAAAATACAGCAACACAGTGCTATTCCCCTGCCTGCGCAGCACCGCACGTGCTAATGGCAACGGCAGAAAGGAGAGGGTGCTGCAGGCACAGAGCACCGCCACTCACTGCCAGGTAACATGGGCAAGACGGAATGCAACTCCTAAACAGTTAATGGGTCTGACCTTCTTTAGCTAGCTGCCAATTTCACGTTTAATGAACTTAAAGCCACAGAGAATCAAAAAATAGATTTTAATTTGGCTGCATGATATTGGAACTGATTTTGATAAAGTGCAAAAATCGTGTGAACTCAGGTCAAATTTATTTCAGCCCTGCCTAGGCTGAATACTGGGGAGGAAGATCTGGAGTAGCTCCCAGTTGTGCTGCATGAAATCATATCGAGAGAGCAGGCTGCCACCCATACCTCGGCTCCAAGTAGGGCACAGGGATGCAGCCCAGCAGCTCTTGCCTCTGGTACCACTTCTCATTTAACAGAAGGTCAACCACGGGAGGATGAAGGTTACGTTCAGACTGACAAAAGCAATGTCTCAATCACCTGCTTTCCTTCCCCACGCGCAGAGCAAGCGGCTGCATTCCTGGCACCCGAGGGCAGCGGGATGGGCTGCAGGATTGCTGCGTGCCATTTTTCTCCCCAGCCATCCCTCGTCTTCGGACAGAGGGAGCAAAGCAGCGCAGGACAAATTCCTCCTGTAGCTCGCTGCACACAGCAGACAAAGGTATTGGGGCCGAGCTGTAAATCCAACTTCTATCTCACCAACTGGACAGCGAAACACACAAAATAAACAGCGTTCCCTCCGCAGCTCGCTCAGCAAGGAGCTCTGCACAGTCACTCCTCAATTACAAGGTTTTCCCTCGGCCTGATTTATTTCTGATGCCGTCAGTGTTATTTAGCAGGGGAAGGGAACATTGTGCTGAGACACCAGACAGTTGAAAGTAGTGCTAAACAACAATAGACTTTGCTAAAGTCTGCTCTGCCGGGGCTGATTTACAATCAAACCCAGGAAATGAAGTGGTAATTCAGAGGTTGCTGATTACACCTCCACATTTCACCTAATTAATTTTATAGGAGGCAAAGTTCTTGAAAATAACAAGATGATCAAATGTACAGATATAAAACCTGTAACCTCAACATTTTCTATGCTCTTAATGTAAATTATTGCTAATTAACGAGAATTATATAGTAATGTATGAAATACGGCTGGCACCGCACTCCTCGCACAGGACTCAGCTCCAAAGGAAGCAGAGCCAGCAGAACACGGCTGTATTCTTACTGCTGTCTCAAAAAAAAAAAAAAAAAAAAAAAAGGAAAACAACAACAATAAACAACAAAACAGATCTCCAAAGAAAGCCGAATTCACAATTCACCTGGGGTACCCCTGAGCTGCCGGATGCATCCTTTAATTTTTGTGCAGGCTGAATTCCCTGCCTAGGCACCTAATCACTCGTCCCTGTTTTTAATGCAAATTGCTCTGCCATGAACATATCTCTCCGCTCCTCCTCGCCCTCCTGCTCCCTCCTTCTTCCCCGTCCCCAGGCACCACAATCTCCCCCCGCCGGCTGCGGGGACACGCGCGGATTTTCTCCTGCCCGAGAAAAACGAGAAGGGGAGCGGCGCGCAGAGGGACCGAGGCCGATCCGGTTCGGCCCGGCTCGGCCCGGCTCAGGAGCGCAGAAAGGAGAGCTTAAGGGGTGGGGAGGGAAAGGTGGTCGCCTCGTGCCAACTTTGCTCCAACTGCGGCCGGAGCTCGTGGCCCAAAGCGGGGGTGAGGCGCGGCGGCACCGGGCGGCCCGGGGGGAGGGGAAAAGAGGGGGGCCAAACTCCGAGCAAAAGTTGCCATCCACCCCCACCAAAAAAAATAAAAATAATTAAAAAAAAAGAGCCCGCCTGGCCGGGGGGCGCGGGGGCTGCGAGGAGTCCGGGCCGGGGGCGGCTGCGGCGGCCGCGCTGCTGGCAGCGGCCGAAAGGAAGAACAAAGGCGAGGGGAGAGGGGCCGGCAGGGAAAGGAAGGGAGAGGAAGGGAAGGGGCCGGCGGCGCGCCCTCCCCCCCCCCCCGCCTGGGCCGCGCCGCGGGCGCAGAGGACCGGCCAGGTTCAAGTCCGCTGCCGGCGGGGTTTTTGATGTCGGTGTGCCTCCTAGCGACCGCCCGGCACATCCCGCCCGGCGCATCCCGCCTGCCCGGCTCCTCGGTCCCGCTCCTCCGGTCCCGCTCCCGCCCCCGGCCCGGCCCGGGGCCGCACACGTGCGGAGCTCCGCGGCCGCGCGGTTACGCGCCCGGCTACGCGTCCTTCCGCTGCCCGGCCCGCGAGGAACGGGGCGGCCCCTCTGGGACGGTGATGTGGGCCAGTCGGCGTCGCGGCCCCCGCCTCGGGAGAGGCGTCCCCAGGAGCGCGAGCCGAGCGCCGGCGTAGTGCCGAGGCAGTTGCATGCGGGAACGTGCGGAGAGCGGTGGGAGGGAGCGAGGGAAGGAAGACGGCCCGGAAAGTTCTGCAAAGCGTGAGCGGGGACTGAACGCGTCGCGCCGGGTCCTGTGCCGGCCCTGGGAAGGAGCAGGGAACACTCGCTGGGAATAATGGGAAAAAAAAAAGATGGAAAGAAATAAAATGGAAAAAAATAAACAGCCACGAGTAGCGTATATCGTTTCCTTTTCTGCACGCTCACCCGAGAAAAGGAGGATTTTCTGTCCCTTTCTCCCCCTCGCCCCGCATCTTTCTGCAACCCGAGGTGCCCTTTGTTGTGCGTTGAGCGGTCCGCTCTCCGTGTCCCGCCCGGAGCGCGGTGCCGCTAGCGGGGAGCGGCGGTTCTGCGGCGAGCGGCGCTCCGGGACCGGGCTGTGTCTTCTCTCTCCCAGGGAGAGCACGTTGGGTTTGGGGCTTAAACGCGGGCGCGGGGCTCCCGGCTGTGCGAGTGTGCGAGCGCGAGTGCGTGTGTGGTGTGCGCTCAGCCCGGGCTCGCTCTTGTCTGTGTTTGTTGGCAGGAGGCTTCCCGCACACGCGGCGCTTGTAAACATTCAGACACGAGATTTTTCCCAATCAAAATCCACTTCCACTTTTTTTGAAAATCTTCCAAAAAATAGTAAGTGAGCGAGGCAGCGCGAGGCGAGGGCGAAGAGGGAATCCCTCTCGGCGCGCCACGGCCGCCCGCCCGGGGCCGCCCCCCGCCCCAGCCCGAGCCGAGCCTAATCGGGGCTGGGGACGCAGAGGGCGCGGGGTGCGGGGGGAGGTGGGGCGGCGGGGCCCCCGGGGCGGCCGGAGCGGGTCCGGCCCGCACCCCGCGACGGAAACAAAAGACAGCCGGGCCCGAGCACCCGTACGCCCTCGCCCCCGGCCCCGCGGAGGGTGCGAAGGCGCGAGCGGCGGGGAGCGGCGGGCTGCGCTCGCCGGACTTTTTCCGCGCCTCTCTCGCTCCCGGCCGCCCGGCGCCCACCGCCGCCCCGGCCGCGCTGCCCCGCGCTTCGCCCGCCCGACCCCGGTCGTGCTGCCCGCCCGCGCGGGGCGCTCTGCGGAGCGGGGCCGTGGCGCGGAGCGGCGGGACGAGGCGGGATGACCGGAGCGGCGCGGGATTGCAGGCGGCGGGAGTTCGATCTGCTCCGCTCGCTCGCTCCCTCTCACTTTTATTTCTTTTCTTCCCGCTCTCGCTCGAATAGAAAATTAAATCCGCGAAAGGGGAATTGAAGGAGTCGCTCCACAGCTTACTTACGCGAAAATTCCCGCTTGCTTAAGTGCTGGGGCTTGCCCTGCTTGCGGCGCGACATGGTGGGCTGGCGGCGGCGGAGCGCGCGGCTCACATCGGGAGCGCCGGGCTGCGGAGGAAGGAGGCTCCCGAGAAAATATCTTCATCAATGTCTTTTGACATCCAAAATAAATTAGAAATAATACAAAGATGGCGCAGGGAAGATGAATTGTGGGATAGCAGTCATGGCTTTTTTTTTTTGTGCGAGGAAAAAAAAGAGAGGGAGAGAGAGAGGGAGAGAGAGGGAAAGAGGGAAGAAGAGAGAGAGCGAGATGAAAAAAATGGCAAAAGCCCCCCTGAGCCGCAAGTTCAAGTGCGGACGTGACGTCCCCGCGAACTTGAACGTCAGGAGCCTGGATGGACAGAGACATACAAAACATGGGCAGGGCGAGCCGGGGAGAGGGGAGGAGGGAAGGCGAAGGCAACACCAATGGACACTCATCGGGGGCTGGACATGAAAAAGAGAGCAGGACAAGCCAATGGCCGAGGACCGCGGGGGGGAGCGGGGAGGGGGCGCGCCGGGCGCACGCCGCCGGAGGGCCCCGGGGCCAGGGCGGAGGGGGCCGGCCGGGCGCGAGCGGCCTCGGGGCGAGGGAGGAGGGGGCGGGGGGAGCGGTACCCGAGCCCGGGAGAAGGACGGGAGGAAGGGGAAAGGGGAAGGAAAGAGAGAGAAAGAAAGAAGGTAGCGGCAGAGCGCACACTCTCACACCCCCGCTGGAAAAGTAAATACATCTCTGAAGCCAGAGGCGGGGGGGGGGGGGGGGGGGGGGAGACGCCGGGCAGGCTGTCCTCGGTAGGGGCGGGGGGTAGACCGAAGGAAGCCAGCCAAGAGCGGGGACCACCCAAAAGGAAGGGGGACCCATCCGGAGCCGGCGTCCCCACTCGGCCCCCTCCCCCCAACCTCCGCGCCGCGGAATCCCCTCCTCCCGGGAGCCGCGGCCTGGCCCCGAGGGACGGCGGCGGTGGCCCCGCGGAGAGCCGAGGGGCAGCGGGGGCCCGGCCCGGCCTGAGGCAAACTTCGGCGGGGAGCGGCGTGCCGGCAGCCGGCCGCCTGCCCCGGAGCGGGGGAGGAGGTGGCGGGGGAGGGGGGGTGGCGGGAGGAGTTCCGCGAGCGGAGGAGCGGGAGGAGAAGGCGCGGGAGAAGAGAGAGCGGAGACCCCGTCGCCTACCCCTCCGAGCCCAGCCCGCGGCAGCGAGCGGCGGCGCGGGGCAGCGGCTGCAGCTGGGGGATGCGCAGCGCCGGCCACAACTTCCCCGCCGCCTGCACGGGGAGGGTTCAGGTTGCAGCGGGAACGGGCTTGGGAGCCGGGCGTGCCCGCACCGCCGGGCCGAGAGTACCCGCGTGCGGCACGGAGGAGAAGGCGGAGAACGGAGGTGGCGGCTCGGACGGAGCGCGGGAGCGGCGCGGGGACCTGTTGACCGAGCGAGGCGAGCCCGTGTCGGAGCGGGACCTCGAACCGCGGGCGGCCCGCCGCCGAGCCGAGCCGGGAGCGGCGGGCGGCGAGGGGTTCGATCGGCGCGAGGCGGGGAGGAGGCGCGGGGCCGGAGAGCTCCAGGTGCCACGGTCACTCTGCGCACAGGGCGGGCGGCCGTGTCCGTGCGGCCATGTGCTCCGTGCGGGGCGCGGATAAACAGGCGGGTGTGTGCGGCACAGGTACGTTCGTACGATTTGATTTGTATATAATAGAGCGTGTCAAGCTTCTCGAGGTAACTGCAGTGCAGAAGTAATGACTTTATTACCTCTGAAACGTTCTGCAGTTCGCATTTAACAGTGCTCTGAATAATTACAAGTCATTATGCAACCGTGCGCTCTCCGAAGCCCACGTACGGTGGGATGCCTGGCCAGGGCCGGTTCTGATAAATAACAGGCAGCGTCCCATCGGTTCTCTGTAAAAGCTCCTAGCGAATTAATCACTTAGTTACACCTCAGCCTGCCGGCTCGCCGCACCGCGGCTGAGATTCCAGCGGTGACTGCCCCGGCCGCACTGTGAGACGTACTCGACAGCTGATTGTGCGGATGCTCTCGGGAACGGCTGCGAGCGAGTCCCGCCGGCAGCGTGCCCTCAGTGCCGGCACGGAGCAACAGCTCGGGCGAAGCGGAGCCGTACCTCAGCGGGGCGCTCCCGCCGGCCGGCCGGGCGCTGCTGTCGGCACTGATCACAATAACGCGCTCTGCCCGCCGCCCCCCGCGCCGCTCTGTCATGTGACGAGAGGGCGACAACAGACCGGGAAACGAGGCGTCGGGAGGCGTTCTTAGAGCGCCGTATCCACGGGCTTTATTAAAGCAGGTGGGTTTTTATTTTGCTGCGCTTTAGTGGAAGGAAGGAGGCTGTTTAACGAGCAGCCGTGGACACGAATAACTGTATTTACAAGCCCTAACGCGGCTTTTGCCAGGCGGTAAATCCTGAGCCGCGACCATTATTCGCCGTAGCCCGGGGCGCGCAGCCCGGTCCGTGCCCCATAACGATGCAGCGCGGCTCTCCTCGAGCCCTTCGGTGTACTCCGGTGTCAGCTCGCGGCCAGCAGTGTTTTGAATGGGGGACTTTTCTCGGCGCTTCCTGAGGTATGGTTCTGTCTCTGATCTCCGCCTTTAATGGCCGAGCCCTGGTTTATGCTTTATAACGTGTTGACAAGTTTTCTAACAGACTTTCTGAAATAACGCACATATATTCACGTCGGTTACAAACTCTACAGTATTTTTAGCGCCGAGTAGATCTATATCCTAATGCACTGAGAGAGAGTGTAAATCATGGAGGATTTCATAGCCCCTTCAGTAGTTTCTGTATGAAGTACGAGCAGCGTGGCCTCCAGACGTAACCTTTTAGAAAAAAAGACAGCTCTTTTATTTTATGGTGTAAAGTGCTTTTAGCTTCAGGGCTCTGAACGTGAACGCGGTCAACAAACAGCTCCTGCGAGGGGCTTAGCTGCGGTCCGGCCCCTGCGCTTGTTGCTGCGCGGCCGTCGGGCGGCTCACGGGGCCCCCTCCCCCCCCCCCCCCCCCCCCTCCGCTCCGCCTGGGCACAGCCGCGCACGCCTCGCCCCGGGGAGGGGTTGCGGGGCTCCCGGCGCGGCCGGACAGGCAGCGGTGGCGGGGGTCCAGCGGCAGCGGCCCCCGGGAAAGGAGGAGCTGGGGGGGCCTCAGGCGCTGCCCTTCCTACAGCATCCTCTGTACGCCGCCCTGGCACGTGGCGCGTGGTCAGTCCGCACTGTACCTACTGCATAAAGTGACGGCACTGCTCAGTAACGCTCGTAGACGCAGCACTTAAACACAGCTAAAATTTTTCAAAGACTGCTAGTTGTGGAAATGCGGCAGGCAAGAGGACGAGTGGGAACAAAACTGGGCAAGCGCTAAAGACAGCCCAGCAAAAGGGCTGCAGGACTGGCGCGCACTCACGCGTCACCTCCCTCTCAGCCACGGCCCTCCCCTGCCGTGCCATCCTGCCGCTGTGCCTCACCCCAGCCAGATCATCCACTCCTTGGTATGGACTCCTGGCTCCAGAGCTCCAGAGCAGTCTTGGGAAAATGTGCCTGATTGCCCTAGCCATGTGCAGGCAAGCCCAGAGGTTGGCGCTGGAGCCTGAGCCATAGGGTTGTCACATTCACCTGGGAGTCCAGCCTCAGGAAGAGGCTGCCCACATGCTGCAGCCCCTCAGCTGGCTCCCATCCTGCCCCTTGCAGACCAGAGCCCCAGGATGCCTGCCGAGAATGTCTGTGTGCCTCCGGTGCCTCAGCCCTGGAAACGGCAGCATGGTCCTTCCTTCCAGCTGAGCCTGGAGGCTGCTCTATAAAGGGACTGCCTCAAATGAGGAAGTGTGGTCTGCCTCCCTCTCACAGACAGGCACATGGTCCCTGTGTGGCGCTGAGGCCTAGAGGTACAGAGGAGCGTGATGCAGCATGTGCTGCATGCTGCCATCCCTGTCTGTCTGCTGATTTAGCTGCAGACTTGGTAGCAGGTGAGTTCAGGAACTTAGGTGGGCAAATGTTCCCACTTCAGTGCTCCAACTGTCATTCATTCATGGCAGCGTTCTCACATGTCAAAATGGAACATTAGAACCAAACACAAATTCCAAAACAATGCCAGTCCTCCTGAGCCACGTGTTACATAACGGCCAACATCGCAGGCACCCTCCTCACCCAGTGATAGCCTCAATCAGGCAGAGGCACCACGGGTGGAACTCTTATCGCACCAAGCTGACTCCCGACGAATGTGCAGAGGACTCACGTGTCCTAGAAATGGCTTGTGCATTGGTACTGCAGGGCGAGCAACATGGGCACACTGCTTTCGGTTTTCTCCTTTTTTGTTGCTGTTTTTGTTTTGTTTTTTACTAAGGGCTCAAAATAAGCTCTGATCCTGCAAGCACTTACTAGCAAGCACTGCACACACAGCAGCGAGTCTGTGCAGGATCACACACATATGGGCATCAGGTGACCAAAAGATTTTGTTATGGGCTGCTCTAGACAGGATCCAGAACAAGGTGCTGAACTTGAGGAGAGTTTTTCCAGAGGTTACAGCAAGGTGTGGGTTGTCAGCCTGCTCCTGCTTGCACAGCTCTGGGCACAGTGGAGCCATGAACCTTGACTGGGCGGTCTAGGGATGGCTGTAAAATGAATGGCACAAAGCACTCGGGATGTAGACTCATTTGCAAACCCCTCCTCTAAGTGTACACATCCTCGTGGGTAGGCAGGCGGGGAGGCACTAGTTATAAAGGATGCCAGTAACAGCTCACTTTTAATCTCATGTTTCATTTTGGCCAAAGTCTGGTTTTAGTTTTCACTACTCCAGAAGTTATTTTACTATTACTTATTTTGTATTTTATTTATGGTCTCCTCTATTTTTGTACGTAAGCATGTAACACGCCCCTGACAACTTGTATCCTAAGCTTCTAGCCAAGGCAATTTAAGCATGGTGGGTTTAGAATCGATGTATGGTGTGAATCCATACGATCTTAATTATAGCAGTATAGCAGCCACGGTACGAGGGAAGTAGCAGGGCTTTCATTACTAAAGAGGCACAGTATTTAAGGTCTGTCAGTGTTCCTGTTACAATCCCCATCTTGAAGAGGTTATAACTTGGGCTGTGTAAATTTGATTGAGCTGAAACTTGGGACTCAAACTGCCAGTCCAAATAGGGAATTACCTTATGAATAATTGGCTAACCCGCTGCTTGATTCAGAGGCCTTTATAAAATGATTTTAATGGGTTCTAATGTTTTTTTCTTTTACTGACATCTAGGGTATGAATGTGGTACTTCTAGCTCTTCTGAAGCTCCATATTGAACAGCACATATATAGGTACATGCATTAAAACTATACAGCAACACAAGAGTTCATGGGGCACATGTGTCACTCTTACAGATCCATGTGTGGACATATGCAGACCGAGACCATGTAGAAGAAGTGTGACAATCTATCTCAGAATATGTGAGATAAGCAGAATAGAAATGCCTCAGACAGAAGGGAGCTAAAGCACATCCATCGTGTCTGCTGTGTCCCTCAGTCCCATGGTGACCCGCTGTCAGACCTGCTCACACCATGCTGCTGGGAAAGGTGGGTGTTTCCTGATCCAGCCGCCTGAAGCAGTTCTGGTGCACTACAGGAAAAAATATGTCATGGCATTGGTCACTTGGTTTTCCTTGTTAACAGTTTTTTGGGACCTAACATTTCTGGGGACATTTTCTTTCCCCAAAATGTGTGGAAGTGAGTCCCATGTGCACCTTAGCATCAGAACAGGCATCATCATGAGTGCACTTTGAAAGACATCAGCTGCTTGACTTTGAGCACTGGCCTTAAGTATGGCTTTGTGTACAAAGAATTTTACTTAAAAATACTCTCAGTGATACTTTCTGCTTGTTCCAAACCTCTGTGGCTCAGAGACACTGAGCATGCACATCTGGGGAAGAGTGCAAACTTGGAATTTTCTTTGACCCTAGCAGAAAATACTGGCAAGCCCAAGGCCAGCAAGATGAGCTACAGACCATGGACAGGTTGCTCTAGTGGAGCCAGACCCCAAAACATTTCTCTGCCAACCTTGTAAATGTTTGCAAAGCATGAACACTATCTTTTGAGACGCCGAGTCATCCGTTTACCTGAGCAGGTCATTCTTTGAGCTCATGTTATTGACCCAAGTGACTTTCTAATTGGTTTTCTGACTTTAGCTGCTAGGATTGGGGAGATCCCTAGATAGCCCAAGGCCAGGAATTATGGCCAGCTCAAGCCACAGGCAGGCAGGCATAACCTGGTGGCCCAGCAGACATTGAGCTCAGGGAGATGAGCATGCTGCATGGGTGAAAAAGGGTGAGACAAGCAGCCAGCAAACTCCTGGTAAGGCTCAAGACAAGAGGAAGCTGAGTCTGGCTCTTTACAGCTGTGCTGTGGGGCTTGACCTGCAACTTTAAGAAAGGACAGCAGTCACCAGTGCCTGGCATCAAGGCATGCCAGCAAGAAATTTGTTTCCTGGTTCCAGTTCACTGCAGCTGGAGTTATTTCCCTGCTACCTGACAGGCACTGGTGCCAGCAGCCACTGTTCTGTATGCATGTGTGTATCACTCCCACAGGTGAGCAGGAGTGCACCCCAAAGTTTAAAAGCAGTGGCACACAATCACTGCAAAGTGTCTGCCAACTGGCAAGATGGGAAGAGCTGGTCTGCTCCTGGCCAAATGACACACGTGGGGCAGCACCAGTCTTTTCAAACTGTAGTTGTTTAAGATCAGCCTTCCCTCAGGATCATCACGATAAGCTTTTCATGCTTCCCTGAAAGAACAGACCAAGAGGCGGTGAGAGCTTGGGCTAACAGGAAATTCAGAAAGCTCCACTCTAGGTGCAGCGGGAAGGAGGATGGAATTGCAAACGTTTGGTCTTGGAAAATAAATCCAACTACATTTCCATCAAATTAAATAAGAATTCCAGGATAACAAAACTAATTCATGACCAAGTCACCCAATACAAGTGTCAGTGATTAAAAAAAAAAGAGAGAGAAAGAAAAAAAAATTCCATTGAGGAATTAGTTTTGCTACAGGAGATGTGGAAAGATTCAGTCCATTTGCGCACTCTCCAGCACATCTGGCTTGACTGACAGCAGGGATGCAGAGTACAGTGGAAAGGATTCTCTCCTCTAACCCTGCTCAGTGCATCCCATGCCTGAGGAATCTGCTTGGACTTGGGCACCGAAAAACCCGTAAGCATATCTGACGCATCAGCTGTACTCCGAGTCTGCAGTAAGCATGAGGCCAAGTATTCTGTTAAGATGGTGTCTTTTGGAAATAAACTCTATTAGGTAGGTTTTTAGTTACTAACAATGCATTTAGCTGAAATTTCACATCATCATTCTCGATATTTTGTATTACTGTTGTAGATTACACTTAATTTTATCCTTTAGGTTCAGCAAAGAAGAAATACACGTGCTGTCTAGAACGTGGGGCCATTTGTGTGAGGCTCCATCTAGATGGAAAACAAAGAACTGTTGAGATAGCAGAGATCTTCTGCTATCTTAAAAACAAGAACGGCTTTGCTGTGGGGTTTTTTCTTTGCCATATTCATCCTGTGCAACTCCGTGTGCAGAATTTCGACTTAATTGAAATATTTTAATGCAACTCTCTGTAGTCAAATTGATATAGTGTTATACAGCCCAAAGCTGCACAGAAAGATGCCGTGCTGAGGCATAGCGAGAGTGATGGTGAATAAAGCATGATACAAGCACACTTCTTTCAGCAGTTTGGATACTTTTGCTACCATTTGTTATTGTCAGCACATATAATTTTTACAGTACGGTATGAATTCTGACTGTAGCGAGAAGAATGCCTTCCACTGCCAGTATGAATAAGATTTCATTCATTAGAATAACGTGCAAGCGTATCGTATAGTATTAGCACAGAAAGCTGATGTGCATTAAGTCTGAATGCTGGGAGTTATTGTGCTAATGCTATTGTTTGGTGAGCAACTATTTCCCGGCAGTGAAAAAAAAAAGCAAAAAAAAAAAAAAAAGCAAGGGAAATTAAATACATAAATCAAAAATATGCGCAATGTTTGATATTACCATACTGAAATTAATGTATTCATAATTTAAACTTTACCTTGCTCTATTGTATTAAGTTTCTGCATACCTATAGAGAAACAAATGTAAACACAAAGAGAGCGACCCATAGCCTGTGTGCTGAAACAAGTCTCTCATTGCAGTGCTTGTTGCTGTGGGTAAATGCAAGGGAAATGCAGACTGTGTCGCGTTGCCAGGCGTACAGGCTGTTTGCTACCTGTGTCAGTGAGAAGTTGGGTCTGAACGCTGCAGTAGTGACGCATCTGCTGCGACCACGCTCTCCTCGACACCCCAACAACGTCGTGCACTGCAATCGCACTCACGTTTACACCCCAGCAACGTGGGGCACTGTGTTCCCACACAGCGATGTGTTCAGGGGATGAGGAGCTGCGCAGCTCCTGGCACTGCACTTCTGCTGCCCAGAGCTGAAGGTGTGCGATGCATAGGATGGGCACACAGCTGCCGCCGCTCCTGCGAGAAAGGTCAAAAGTGCCTGGGAGCCGAGGTGTGCCTGAAACAGCCGTTGTACTTAAAGCCAGTAAACACGAAACTCTTCTCTATTGAGACCCAATTAGCTTTTCTATTCAAAGCCGTGCTGCACTTCTGCACGTTGCTTACGAGTGGGACTGAAAAACACACGCACCATGACACTACACTTTTAAAGTGTTTATTGACTGCCTTTCCCGTTCTCCCAGGATTGCCTCCTGCTTAGATGTGAGTTTTCGGTGAATATGACCTGACTAATTGTTTTCCCCTGCCATGATCACTACGTTTCTCAAGCAGTTTGCACCTATTCACGGACCTCACATCTTCAGCCTTGGATCTTAAAGAAACTGATAACTGCGCTTCCAGAAAACTGCTCGGTAAATACATTTCCTGCCCCGGGCTTTACAAGGACCGCTCTTGTCTCAGAGCCACCGTGTACGTACCATTCTTTTTTTCCCGGATTTTTTTTTTTTTTTTTTTTTTTTTTTTGTGGTGGTTTTATATTTTTTTTTTCTGTTACCTTTTCTGCCAGTGAAGTAATCAGGGAGAACGGCGGGAGGCTCCATAAATATGTAAATTGTCGCCAGATAACTGGTTTCGCTGGTTCCGCCTTGGGACTCCCGCCGGGCGGCTCCGCGGGGAGATCCGTCGCCCCCGGCCCCGCCCTCCACGCTCCGAGAGCTCCTTCCCCTCTCCTTCCCCTCTCCTCTCCTTCCCTTCTCCTCTCCTTCCCTTCTCCTTTCCTTCTCCTCTCCTTCCCCTCTCTTTCCCCTCTCCTTCCCCTCTCCCCGCCGCTCTCCGGTGCGTGCCTGCGCCTTTCAGCTCTTTGGCAGCGTCCCGAAGGAGCTCCGCGTCTCGTCGCTGCTGGGGCAAAGCACGGGAGGCTGAGCCACACTCGGGCCCTTTCCTTTCTAACTCGGAATCGGAAGGATTAAAAGCGGCCACTGGCTTCCAAGTTAAAAAATATGTTGAAGTGAAAGTTCAATTCTTAGTTAAACACTCACTCCTTAGTGGATTCTGATCTGACTGCTGTTAGACCAACATCGGTGTTGCACTGACGCTTTAATTAATAAAAACGGTTGGAGTCCTCTCTGTCATCTCATTGTTTACCAGCCTCCGCACAAACTTTGAAGTCCCTGTCTAAATAGGAGACCGAGAAGGAGAACATCAGCCGCCAAAGTTACTTCGAAGCCAGAGAAGCGAGGCGGCTGATACTGTGGGCACTGGATGGGCTCCATCCCTCCGCGATCGCCGCGGCTCCCCGCCGTGGAAGCTGCCTGGCAGCCCGCGCTGGGACGGCGCTGCACTCACGGAACGCGGAGGGCTGGAGGGGTGAGGAGCTGCCGCTGCCCCGGGATTTCCTCCTGCCCGCGGAGCCGGGCCTCACTGGGAAGGAGATGGAGGCTGCCGGATGGACAAATCCACCTGTGGATTTGTGGGTAGATCCACCTCCGGGAGAGATGGAGCGGGTAACTTCCCTGAACTAGATTTAAGACTTTTTTTTTTTTTCTTTTTTTCTTTTATTCTTTTTTCTTTTTTTCTTTTTTCTTTTTTTCCCACGTTATCTCCAGATTTGATTGCTGGAAAAGGCTGACTGCACAATAGCAAAACAAGGGCACCATCCAGCAGTTGGGAATCAAGGCCCTTCTTTACCAGAGCCCCTGCCACATACATGCTGTCACCCACCTTCCAGACACACGGCACAACCATTCGATCTACTGAATCGAGAGACTGTTTGATCTTATCTGCATCTGTGAGCTGACTGTCAACCTGCTTACACTGCATATTAAATCATCCATAGTAGCTGCATCAAGCTGGGATGATCTGTTAATTCTGAATTTACTAACCCTTCGAGTGCAGTCATTGTGTTTAATCTAGTGTAGCCAGCATTTATTTTACAAGACTAAATCCTTCTTATATGTCTGTGCTGTAGGTTAAAAAATCATTAACGTGTAGGAGATGGTAATTGGGAAGAGTTCACTTTGATCTTTGGAAGCCAGTTGACAGCATCACTGCTCCAAACACACACGTGTGTGCTCTCACCATGTGCTGGACGTGTGCACACGTACGCACCTAATGACATTTCCTTGCAGAAAGAGTTTTGCATGAGACAAGGAAAAAGAGAGGCCTCAGACAATGCCTTCATTCCATGTCTCAAGGAAGACTTACGGTCGAGAGGCAAATTCCTGGTGCTGCAGTGCAGTGAGAGCATGTGGCTGCAGGCAGAGCCCTGCCAGGAGGGCCAACAAATGTCTCCTCGAGGCAGCGCCCAGCTTGATGCCCAGCTTGATGCGTGCCTGCAGCCACTGCCAGCACCAGACGTCCCCACGCACTGAGGACCACAGCCTCTGCCAGGCTTGAGAAAATCAAGTGCTGCTGTCAGCACCTCTACCAACGTGCCCCCTCCTCGGCGCACACATACGCAGAAAATTGCGTGCAGATATGTACATATATTTAAATATGCTAATCTGCTCACTGTACACACCCATCTCTCCCTGTCCCACTCTCCTGTTACCTATTATACTTGCACGCTGCTGATGGCATCAACGCATTCACAGTTTTTATTTCGGTCACAAACTGGTAGGCATGCTTCCTTTTTTGGTAATCACATGCCTGGTGTCTCTCTAATGTAGCCTAATAACAATTTTAGCATTCAGATAAAACGATTTCATTCTGTGATTGCCTTTTCTATTAGATTTGATTCTGAGAAGCCCCAGTGGGTGCCTCCGAGGCAGAGATCTATCTGTGAGGCTGCAACCGATTCAATAGCAGCCTGAGCTAACCTTGACCTTTCCCTAGACCCTGCTCCATCTGGTGCCAGCCTGGTCCCCCCCTTCTCCTCCTCCTTGCTTCACAGGCAGCATTGATCAAGACGAAATCGAGCGGCTCTCTCCCTCGGAGGGCTGGGCAGTCACAGGAAGATCAGCACATTTCAATATATGGAGACGACCGAGCCTCTTATGCAATCATAAATCTACATAGAGGCTTCTGATTTGATATTTCCTTCACCTCCAAAGATTCTCCCCTCCCTTCCCCAGCAGGGATTTATAAACTATAAGACAACGGCTTTCCCCAACACCTGGAAATTATAAAGCTGGCTGTTGGGAATGCATCCTGGCGATTTGATCTGATTTACTCGACTTCTTATTTATTTCCTTGCAGCTCGCTCCATCTTTTCCCTACGTCCTCGGTTCTGTATCTCTGTCGCTTCTTTCTGTTATTTTCCCCCGTTCAGAGGAGGCCTTTATTCGCCTCCTCGGGGATGCCGGGGTGCCGCTGTGAGCAGGCTGGAGGGGCCGCGGGTAGGCTGGATCGGGAGGACCGTCTCCCTCCGAACCCCGGCACCGACTGCCGGCTCGCTCGGGCGCGTTTCTCTGTCTGCAAACGAGAAGAGGCTCCCGCGATCAATCGGCGCTTCGCGCTTCGTTTTCTTCCCTCTTCTCCGCTCTGCCGCTGCACCTGTATCCCAGCGCCACCTCGCCCCCAGAGCCCAAGCGGAATTGCGCCGTGCCCCGCGGCCCTGCACCGCCCCGCACCGCTCCGCACCGCCCGCCGAGGCGTTCCGACGCGCTCCCTCCCCCGTTCCCTCCCCGGCAGCAGCCGCGCTTGTGTTCGCCCCGCGGACAACCGCCGCGTCCCGTGCTCTCGTCTCATCTCCGTGTGGGTTCCTTAATTGCCAGGACGTTCGTCTACAATCCGCGATTTGCTTTTGCTTCCCAAGAATTGTAGCATGACCGCGTTTTCTCAGCTCGCAACAGTCTTGAGATTACATAACAGATGATGCAAAATTATAATGACGATCTAATCTGTGCACGCTGTAATTATTGTATAGAGTTTCCTGCACACACACGGCTCGTGCAGTATCTGCAGAGCCAACAACAGGCTGCGGATGCAGAGTAGAAAAAGTAGAGATTGATATTTGGCAGTATGAATGTACCAGAGAGGGATATTACTTAATGGGAGAATGTGTCTGGAAATGCATTTCTCTTTCTTCTGAGCAATTTGTTTTGCTTTATCTCCATGGGTTGTAAAAAATAATAGGAAGAAACTGTGAATTAAGCTGAAAAAATACATATACTCAATTTATCAGTTTACTATTACACTTCCTATCTGCAGTGTTACAAAGATTTAGTACATTTCCAAAACTTTTGGATCTGATCTGCATTTTGTGCAGCCTACGGTTTGTTTGCGAGACCTGCCACCACATGCCAGCTAAAAATGAGTGTCAATTAATAACAAAAAAACTCCCTTCCTTCCTTATTTCTGCACTCTCGTACTCTAACGGATAAAACTACTGATGGTGAGAATTTTCCATTACTAACAGTTTTTATTCTAAAGCACCAAAGCTTCCCCAAATAGAGCTGCTGAATATTTCCTTGCTTTTCCCAGTGGCAATTTATGCACACCACTGCTCATTAAAAATATAAAGAATATTCAGCACTTTAAGCAGTGTTTTTTCTTCTACCCAGATCAGCCAGTAGAACCAATCACAAACCCAGTGACTGCACTGCGTTGTTTGTGGTGTTCCAAATTAGAAATCATTTGAAACCAGAAGTAGGTTTGTTTTGTTTTTTTGTTTTTTGTTTTGTTTGTTTGGTTTTTGTTTTGGTCTGTATTTTTGTTTTGTTTTGTTTTTAGTGTTTTCTACATGAGAAGTAACTGAAAAACATTCACCTTTGTGACACAGCAGATTTTCTAAGCTCTTTTCTTTCCAAGCTACCTGAGCAGCCGTGTCATCTCTGCAGAAATGCCTGGGTGTGGGTTGCTGTTTAAGAGCATACTGTACTTATCAATAAAATGTGAAATGGCTTAAAAAACAATTTGAGCTATGAATTGCCATCTGCTCTTTTGGGGGGGGAAGGGAGTGGGGGGTGTGAAACAGAAAGTAACTGCATTTATTTTCTCACTTTCTTTCTCTCTCTCTCTCTTTTTTTTTTTTAATAGTAACATAAACAATACTGCAGAATGCTGTAAAGCTCTGTCTGTATGAAAGGCATCGGCACAGCTCAACATACCTTAGGTCAGGACTTTGCCCACGTTGTTAATCACCACTTCTTTTATCTATCAGCAGAAGTGCCCACAGTACTTTTTTCCCCATTAAGCAGGGTGTCCTTTCTAATTTCAGACATTAAAAGCCTGGTCCATCTTCCCACGTGACACAGAAACGTCCCAGTGGACAGCAAAGCGGCCTGCAGACCCTCTTCTGTTCTACGTGGGAGAGTGGGACCACTTCCTCTGGTTTGCCAGTGAACCTGAGGCTTTGCCAGCACCACAGCCTCAGTGCTGGTGATGCAGTGCTCCTGAGCGAGCTGTGTGCATCACTGTGAGGCCAGCTCCAGGTGCTGGGAGGCCTCTGCCCAGCCCAGGGGAAGGCATGGCAGCCTTGCCTGGCTCCTGCCTCTCAGCAGCCCTTCCTGCCCACACCACTACTCCCTGTGGCAGGGCTCACTGCAACAACATCGAGAGAACAAAATAACAGCTTGCTTCTGCCTACTTAGCTGGAGTTGTTCTTTGTTGTCATTCAGCTGGGAGCCCTGACTTTTGTAACCTGTTTATTGCAGTTCTTGCTCAGCTAACCAACCCAGACACTGCTCCTACCTGCTATGGGGAGGGGAGGGGAAGGGAGGGGAGGGGAAGGGAGAGGAGAGGAGAGGAGAGGAGAGGAGAGGAGAGGAGAGGAGAGGAGAGGAGAGGAGAGGAGAGGAGAGGAGAGGAGAGGAGAGGAGAGGAGAGGAGAGGAGAGGAGAGGAGAGGAGAGGAGAGGAGAGGAGAGGAGAGGAGAGGAGAGGAGAGGAGAGGAGAGGAGAGGAGAGGAGAGGAGAGGAGAGGAGAGGAGAGGAGAGGAGAGGAGAGGAGAGGAGAGGAGAGGAGAGGAGAGGAGAGGAGAGGAGAGGAGAGGAGAGGAGAGGAGAGGAGAGGAGAGGAGAGGAGAGGAGAGGAGAGGAGAGGAGAGGAGAGGAGAGGAGAGGAGAGGAGAGGAGAGGAGAGGAGAGGAGAGGAGAGGAGAGGAGAGGAGAGGAGAGGAGAGGAGAGGAGAGGAGAGGAGAGGAGAGGAGAGGAGAGGAGAGGAGAGGAGAGGAGAGGAGAGGAGAGGAGAGGAGAGGAGAGGAGAGGAGAGGAGAGGAGAGGAGAGGAGAGGAGAGGAGAGGAGAGGAGAGGAGAGGAGAGGAGAGGAGAGGAGAGGAGAGGAGAGGAGAGGAGAGGAGAGGAGAGGAGAGGAGAGGAGAGCCCTTTGGGAGCACACAGAGCCCTTCAAACCAGGCAGTCAGGGTGGAGCAAGTGGAGGACATGAACAGAAGGTATTGGCTGTAACTGGGTTTCACAGGAGCACGAGGGAGGGAGCTGTGAGCTGTTACAAGCCACTCAAGGAGCACAAGTTTCACATGGCCATTGTGCAAAGCATAAACTGCCCTCCTCTGCCCAACATCTTGACACTTCTACTCTCTGAAAGACTGATCTGTTAA